ATATATATATCTATATATATCTATATATATCTATATATATATCTATATATATCTATATATATATATAATTTATAGGGGCATTTCTTTCCTTACTTCTATATTTGTTTCCGTTTGTTTGAAACTACGGCCTTCACTGCCTATGGGACCGGTCCCTTCTTGGGTAGTGAAAGAACCTGCATGCAAATTCTGCAATTCAACGTGGTTCGATATTGTCTTGTGATATATACAATCAGTATATAGCCAAGCCGGAAGTGTGACCCTGTACATTTCTTTTGTAATCCATTCACATTCTTGCTCTGGAAGTATTAAGTGCCTGTCGAGTGTGAGTATTAATTACTCCCGTTTACGAACACTTTTGGTATGCCTCAGAAATCTCGATCAAGGGCTCGCAGAAATGTACCGAAACCCTAACTCGTGGACATATTCTGATGATACGTTCCCTTGTGGAGTACCTGTCTACCATGTACGCAGATACTATATCTATGACATGGATTGAATAGGTACACATGGTACAGTTACAAAGATAGTAAAAGTCAGTCGGTCTATGAGAGTAGCACTGAAGCATTGAATTACAGGACCGCGCTTGCTGATATTAGCATATAACACTAACCAGTTCTAGCTTGTTTACTATATACTGGTAACGTGTGCGTAAGTTGTATTGCATCATCAGTGTTGCAGATTGCTCTGCCACCTGCTGCAACGACCCTACACACGTATACATATATGGAAAACACTCACAATACCATGCACGTATACACATAGACTGCACTCGTGTGTGGAGAGAGGCTTGATGTACTCACAGTAATTTGATACACTTTCACCAATACATGCAAAAATGCACAGATACAGCAGAGCGGTACTCTGCTAGACTTAGTGGCGACAAATGATCTGGTCATTCGATCAGCAGGGCCTAAATATGGTGAAGAGTAAGTTGTTGTCACATGTGTAAAGGGTGCATGTCTCATTGACATTGTCACGTACTGATTATGATAATCAAATAGTACTTATTCTCATCGTCATCGTCATCGTAGTAATCTTTGGAAGGTAGACCCCCCACAAACACACACACACACACTACCACCCTTCTCTCTCTCGCTCTTTGTGGAATTGTCAGTAGTAGGAGACGTGTGTATGCAGATATGTGTCGGTATGGTGTATGTATTTGTTTGTATACTTCTTTTGTGTGTGGTGTAGTGCACTTCGAGCCTATTCGGCACACGTTGACTGCCTTTCAACAACGTGAGGTGGATCTGTTTTCTGTGTAGTCTCCATATTAATTAAAGTGCTGCAAACAATTCTATAACCAAAATTCAAAAAATTAAACTCGCTACTGATGGAAGAGTTCGTGGCTATGGCTCATTGCCCAGTATTTATCTGATTATATATATTTATATATATATTAGCGAATTAGTGCTGCAAACAATTCTATAAACAAGATTCAAAAAATCAAACCCGCTACTGGTGAGAGAGTTCGTGGCTATGGCCCATTGCCCAGTATTTATCTGATTATATATATATATATATATATATATATATTCATTTTCATCAGACAAGTTGTCCTAGTAATCTATACTATATGTCGGTATAATATGTGAGTTTCGACACATTGATCAAAGTAACATCACCCGCCCCCTTAGTTCGTAGCGCTTAGCATCTGCATGGATGGTTGCAACAAACCTGCTGTAACCTCTATGAATATCAAGCAATACATAACAAAGAGACATACTCAGATGGGTAAATTGGTGTGAAGTGAATATAGAGAGAAATAAATATATGTATATAAATATACAGAGAAGAGTACAGCCCACAGCAACGTTTTGAAGCGAATTAAAATTGGTTTGTTTCTACGGACAGGGTCTGGAATTGCGCGCTCACCAATCAACTCTCTGTTTGTGGCTGTGAGTTCAAGTCCGATCGAAAGTCTTCAACTATATTCAAAGAGGTTAGTATTTCTCAAAATAAAAGAGATACGACAATACGGTATAGACACGATTGCAAAGCCCTCAGGAATTGCTTCAATAGAAATTGACCCAGTGGGTAATATAATCATATTTAATGCGACTACCGTGTCGGTCTACTTTGATGTGTTTGGTTTAGGTGCATATGTCAATCAATCTTGAAGTGTTCGGTTTTGGTGTATGTGTCGGTCAGTCTTGATGTGTTCGTTTTCGGTGCACGTGTATTCGCGCGTGAATGCATGCACTTTGTTATCCGTGTCTGTATTTGCGCATTTTCTGTGTATATACACTGCATGCGAATATCCCGAGCGCCTGACGATCTTGTTAGTGATTGGCCTCGCTGTCGATGAATTTTGATTCGATGGTATTTTTGTCCATGTCTGTGACAATTGTATATACAAATGTGTTGATGTTTGTATGGTCTGTCGTGTTTTCGGGATACACATATTAGATATACAAAGGTATTTGCGAGAAGCTGCACAGCATCTAAGTATTGATTGATCAATGGCAGTCTACGACTGGCTATGTTTGCTCTCTCCGAGACGCGAGATTGCATCTATATCCTTCAATATACACTGCCGCACTTCTTAGATATTTTATCTGTGGCGTTTGCTGAGGCAGCTAGAACCTCGATCCCCGCGAATATATCTAACAATCCCAGTCAACACTTACGTCCGCTTTAATAAGATACTTATATGCGGGAACAATTCTACTTACTATCCCCAGTTTGCTCCGATAAGCAACCGTGCGTTTATGGCACTGTCCGTGGTCGCCGATTTGGTGTCTACGTTGCGATATCTCAACAGGGTATGTTGATTCTATATGTGGTCACCTTTCGAGTAACCCCTGACGAATGAGTCAGCTTAGGCGTTGTATGTCGCGCGTTGTATGTCATAAGGTTGTTCATTTTATTGAGACGCAGACAGTGCAAGTACTTTTGCTTACGCACATGGTACAAGGAAGGTTTATAATACGATTTACCTACACGAATTTGAAAATGCACTCACGTTTAGCTTATTCATACCAGTTATACGGCAGTCATGTGGAGTCAATATCACTCATCATAGCTTCTCAATGAGTGCACTACGTTTCTATTGGTAGTTTTTTATGTTCTGCTCAGACTGTTTGAGACTTCATGCTTGTTGTCCATTTCACATTTTTCTCACAATTACGTACACTGTGCAGGGTATAATTGATACCAGGCCGGTATCTGTATATCCTATTCTATGTGAATTACGGATGCATATTGCGGCAGTGCGGATGGGCTGGACAAGGGAGGACTCTGGCCAAAAATCACAATTATGAAATAAAAATTAAATGCCAATTCATTTCATCATCGTTGTAAGCATGTACTTACGATAAGTGATTATGCACGGGTTTCTCGGAATTTGTGTCCTTGTAAATGACTACATGAACTTATGCAACTCTGTACATATTGAATTGCTTACATTTTGATACTGATTTAATAGTACATTGGACGAGTCACAATTAGGAATCTATTGCGAATACAAATCAATTTCAAGATTAAAAAGTCTCGCAAATGAAATTGAAAAAGGCATCTATACACGAAGCCATAAACATATGACTTTATACCTTCCATTAAGTTCGACTTTTTCATCCGGAGGCCAATCCCCCTGCATGAAGTATCATCTCCCTCCTTTTCGGTGGTCGGTTCGCTTATTATTTCGAACTACGTATTTTGAAAAATCATTTCTGTTCCGTACTGATGGGTTTTGCCAGATTACACTGTTGCCTTTTGCAATCTGTACGTGGACCATCGCTGACACTGACCAATGTTTTATATCCCACATACGCCCATCTATAGTCTCCAGGTTTTAGATTCACTTCTCATTAATCAAACCCCTTTCGCTTTTAGATAGCGCAGATGAGGTTTTGTAGGGAGGTGGTCATTGCGGCCTCTAATTTGCTATGTAACACTGAGCGCGCTCTACATGGACATAAAGTATTTCATTTAGATACCTGTCTAGTATGATGCAGCGACACTAAAATATTTGGGTACTTAAATTTCTTGCAAGAGCATATCTGAGTCCCAGCACTATGCGCACAGTCATTGAGGCTCTACATCGTCTTGGAAAAGATCAGCTACCTTAAAATATATGACAGAACGCTACGAAGAGATTTCAAATAAGAATCGGCTTGATTATCCTAATTACAGCGGCGCAAATGACTAGTTTTCAAGACAAAGTCTAAAAACAGTTCACCTTTTTTTCCCGCAAAGAAGCTCAAAAATCAGCACGCTAGGACAACGAGGGCGAACTCTGCACAACATAGACCATTCCATACAGTATACCGACTGTCATCAGCAGGTATATGACATCAGCAAATAACTTACATTCTTGTCAGACTGTACCTAGAACCCACCACCACCACACGCAAAGACATTGAGGTTATACATGTAAGCTTTCAGAAATATGGTCAGTTGTATAACGGAGAGTTTTAAAATCATATCGGCACAAATACTCTGTCCTCAATGACGTTCAATTCATATATGATCCAATGCTTGAGACGAGGTCTGAGAGTGTACCATTCTCTATCTCGTCGTTACTAAAACTCACAAGGTAGGTACACTGAAAAGAATACAAACAAAAACTGCTTCTGGACGATATTGGGTTAATTTTTACACAGGAGAATGACTAAATTTCCCTATGATATATTCCGCAGCATTGCCGGCTTACCCGGACAGCTCCCGACATTTCTATATTGTCTTGTCTTTCGGTGCAATGGCATGTACTCTGTATTTGCGTGAAACAAGGACCACATAGTATTATTGAACTTGAAGCGAGGCTTGGAACGACACAAATCGGTTACACTGTCCGATCATGTTCTTCGCTTCTACGGCTCAATAAAAATGAGTAGTTCTTACGCGCGCAAACAGTAACACCCTTTCATTGAAACGACTTACTAAATAGTCGGATCTATATCGT